TTTAATTTTTGAGAGAGAGAGAGAGAGAGAGAGAGGAAAGAAAACACCCACGCCTGTGGGGGGATGGGCAGAGAGAGAGGGAGACAGAGGATCCCAAGCAGGTTCTGTGCTGACAGCAGAGAGCCCAATGCGGGGCTCAAACTCAGGAACCATGAAATCATGACCCGAGCCCAAGTCAGACACTTAACTGACTGAGCCATCGAGGTGCCCCGGAAGCATTTCTTTCTTGATGAGTGTTGAGCCAATAGATTTTTCCGCGTGGCAGTCGCCACCCACAGCAGTCCCCATGCTGCCTCCCTTCCACTCCCGCCACCGGGTGGTTTGAAAATTACCCCTTTACCATTGCATGTCTCAAGGGGGAATGTGAAGAATTTCTTCCCAGAGTCAGAAGCGTATCCAGAGTCGCAGGTACAGTAGGTGCCGTGGACACAGAAAGCGTGTTGGGGGCACTGTGGACAGGTAGCTGCTGCAGGGAAAAGAGAGGGCAGGTCAGATGTCACCGGGGTTGAGAGACGTCTGTTACCATTTGGCTTTGCCTCTCTGACTGGGGCCTCTCCAGGATGAGGAAGGCTACACCCTTTTCCTCCTTTGAGATCTTAAGTACATTACAAAAGGAGAGCTACGAAACCCAAGTTACAGAACAAAGTGAGGATTCGTTTGCATGACAGAGGTCTGGAGTTGGCGTTAATTTTCACACAAAAATTTCAATGCAATATAATGGTGCTATTGTCAGGCACAGGATTTTTATTTTTACTTATTTAGTTATTTAAGTTTTTATTTACTTATTTTGAGAGAGAGGGAGGGAGGGGCAGAGAGAGAGAGAGAGAGAGAGAGAGAGAGAATCCCAAGCAGGTTCTGCACTGTCAGCGCAGAGCCCTCTGCAGGGCTCGGTCTCACCAACCGTGAGATCATGATGTGAGCCGAAATCAGGAGTCGCGCGCTTAACCCACTGAGCCACCCAGGCGCCCCCATTGCAGAATCTTTAAAAGGAGGGAATGGATTGGTTAAGACCCTGGGGTCGATCCTGGCTCCACAACTTATCAGCCGTGTGTCTTTGCATCTCTCTGTGCCTTGTACCCTCATCTGTAAAATGGATTATTGTGAAGAGTAAGTGAATTAATACATGTAAAGTGTGTTGGGCAGTGCCTGGCACACAAGACGTATCAGCTAGGATTATAAAAACTTGAAAGTGTAGGGACCCACAGGAGGTATATTCGGATACGGGTTCACATTATCTTTGCAAGTCTATGTATGACTCCAAATAGATAGAGATACGCTAATGATCTTAAGGTGGGCCCTCTTGGGAATGATTGGAGCCGAGGAAGTATCTCGAACACTCCCTATGCGGTGTTCACAGGGAGAGGGGACTGGGAACCTGATGGGGGCCACAATGCAGTCTGGCTACTCAGAATGCATCCCCCAGCAGTTGGTTAGAAATGCAGAAGCTCAGGCCCCACCCTTACACCTGCTGAATCAGAATCTAGTGAGATCTCTAGGGGATTAAAGTTAGCCTTAAATCATCTTGTTTATTTTTTTTGTTTTTGTTTTGGTGCCTCGCTTATTATCAGAATAAAATGATTACCGTCCTGCTCTGTCTCTCCCCTCTGGAGTGCTCACTTCACTTCCTTTGTGTGTTTTAGCCTCTGTTCTATTTCTACATTGGGCACATTGTGGTGACTGAAAACAAATGAACAAAGGACACTAAAGTAAAAAGATACATTAAGGGGTGCCTGGCCGACTCCGTTGGAAGAGCGTGTGACTCTTAATCCTGGGGTCGTGAGTTTGAGCTCCACACTGGGTGTAGAGATTACATAAATAAATAAAACCTGGGGCGCCTGGGTGCCTCGGTCGGTTAAAGGGTCTGACTTCGGCTCAGGTCCTGATCTCACGGTCCGTGGGTTCGCGCCCCGCGTCGGAGCAAGCATCCCCAAGTTCTACTCCCAGAACAAGCCTCTTTGCTCTAGCCCATTGGAGGATGTGAGTGGTCCCAGATGTACCCTTGGTCTCCACCTTTCCTGGTCTCGGACTGTGGAGAAGTCAGGTGTTGAGCACTTACCTTTGGTCATCCGAGCCATGACTTCTGACAAACTTAGCAGAAAACAGAGTCCTGGAACAGGGAAGCAGAAGGGAGACACGTGAGATGGCTGTGGAAAGATTCCAGGAAATTCTCCAAGGGCTGTGTACCCGCTATCCACTGCTACGTAAAAACCATCACAAAATGTAGTGGCTCAAAACAGCAAGGTTCATTTTATCTCTCATGATTTCTGTGCTCTGGGAAGGGCTCAGCTGGGTGATTCTGGCTTGGGGTTTCTTACACGGTTGCAGTTAGGCAGTGGCTGGGGCTGGAGCAGCTGGGAACTGACCATGCATTGTCACCCCTTTATGGAGCCTTAGACTTGGGGAGTTTGGCCTTCCTCCCAACATGGCAACCTTGGGCAGGCAGCTTCCATGGCAGTTCAGAACTCTAAGAAGGAGTTTCCCCGCCAACAGGCTATGTGTCCTGTTAAGATCCAGCCCTGGAAGCCATGAAACTCCACTCCTATCACATTCTCTTGGTTACAAGCAAGTCGCCAATCCACTCAGATTTACGTGGATAAGAATCAGTCTTCCTCTTGAGGGAAGATGGGCAAGGTTCTAGAAACACGTCTTAGAAGGGAAGTATTGTTTTTGCCTTCTTGGGAAATGTGGGCTGCCTCTACTGTGGCTGATCAAGTGCTCCTTCCTCTTCCCCAAACCTTCCCAGCATCTGGTGGTGTCATCAGCGTGTTCCTGCTCGGGTCAAGACCTGAAGACAATGGATAGATGGGTGGCTTCTCTTTCCCTTTCCTGAGAAATCCGACACCACTCTGATAGCTAGTTCTCCCCTCACCTTCTTTTCATTCTTATTACATACCAATATCTAGAGTTATTTTCCATTTGCAAGGATAGTACTAACAGCTGGTATGGTGCAGGAATCGGCCAATCAGAATATACTCTGGACCCCCTTCTCTACTCCAGCAGATGTTAATATAGATGCCCAATTATGGGGAGGTGGGTTGGGTCCCAGGGCAGGATTTGGGTGGGCAGGAGTGTCGTGGGAGCTGGTCCTGGGCAATGATTGGTTACAAATGGTGTGAGAATCTTTCAATATGAACAGCCAACCAATGGCTCCTATAGTGCCCACTTGTTGAAGTTTAGCTCTGGTGACTAGTCATTTTATTTGCAACTTTGGTTACCCCTTGAGAAAGTGGCTTCTGCAGATGAATGGATACAGAAAATGTGATATATATAATGGAATATTAGTTGGTCTTAAAAAAATAAGAAAGTCCTGTCACTCGTGCAACATGGATAAACTACAGGACATTATTCTGAGTGAAATAAGTCAAACACAGAAGGGCAAATACTGTATGATTTCACTTAACGTGAAATATCGAAAGGAGTCACACTCATAGTAGCAGAGAACAGATTGGTGGTTAGCAGGGGCTAGGGGGAGAAGGAAATGGGAAATTGCTTTTCAATGGATATAAAGTTTTTGTTATATAAGGTAAGTTCTGGAGACCTGCTGTAAAACCTAGTACCTGTAGTTAACCATACAGTGTTGTGCAGTCCAACATGCATTAAAAGAATGGATCTCATTTTATATGTTCTTACCAAACACACACACACACACACACACACACACACACACACAGGGAAATTTTTGTAGGTGAAATGTTTGGTATCTTCATTGTGGTGATGGTATTATGGGTGTAAGGTGTATACATACGTACAAACTTATCAAGATGTATATACTAAATGTGTGCAACTTTTTGGTCTATCGATTATACCTCAATAGAGCTAAAATTAAAAAAGAAAGTGGGTCCTGGCAACGGAAGGGTCTCTGTTAACCAAGTTGGGCGACGGGTGTAGGTCAGGGTGGACCAGTTAGGTAGAGCTGGGGTGAACTTCAATTCCTGTACATAGAGGACTGAGATCAGGGGATTGAGAGAGTCTGAGGCCGACAGTCTGGAGAAGATGGGGGTGTGTGGCTTCCCTGGGGAGGTCCAGAACATGTATCAGCTGGTGGCTGTGAAACAACACTTACAGGGAATTTTTGGAGTAAAAGGCAGCATGCCCTGGGATGCAACCACTCCCTCCATCCTGCCTATAAACACGCCAGTGAAACCCCCTTGGAGAGAGATACCATGTCTTGGAGAGAGGATTTCTTTGGTGGGGGTGGGACAAAATTCTAAGGCCAGCCTCTACAACATCTAAGGGGAATTGAGTTCTCATTCCATGCCAGGCATTGTTCTAAGCACCCTAGGCACATGCCCTTAATCTAGCTTTGCAATGACTTCGGGAGATGAGTGCTGGTAGCATGATCCCAGTTGTGCAGATGAAGAAACAGAGACACAGAGGGGCGCCTGGGTGGCTCAGTCGGCTGAGCATCTGACTTCGGCTCAGGTCATGATCTCGTGGTTTGTGGGTTCGAGCTCCGCATCAGGCTCTGTGCTGACAGCTCGGAGCCTGCAGCCTGCTTCCGATTCTGTGTCTCCCTCTCTCCCTGCCCCTCCCCGGCTCACCCTCTCTCTATGTCTCTCAAAAATGAATAAATGCTAAAAAAAAAAAAAAAAAAAAAAAAGAGAGAGAGAGAGAGAGGCACAGAGAGGCTAAGTAACTCGCTCCACTTCCCAGAGCTAGGCAGGGGCAGAGCTGAGATTCAACTCGGGCTCTGGGCTCCTGCTGATAACCTATCAACCCACATGACCTCTCTTTCAGAAATCCCACACGTGCTGCATGCATGGAGGTGCCATTGACAGCGACAGGTTTACAGTGACAACGACTGGAGGAAAGGGCACCTTTTCTTCCATAGATGCTGCTCCCCAGATATGATAGTCCAGTAGAAGGGGTGATATGTTACTTGGTCATTTGGGGGGCAATCTAGACCGACTGCAGGATTTGGGAGACAAAGCCCTATGGGCTAGCGGCAACCCTTTAAGAATGGGAGGGAGGGCAATGCTACCTCTTTTTGGGTTTCCCTTTATGAGTTTCTGGTGGTTGTGAAATTGCCACGAATTTAGTGGCTTAAAAACAACAGAAATGTATTCTCATATGGTTCCGTAGGCCAGACGTCCAAAGTTAGCCTCACTGGGCTAATATTATCAGTGGGGCTGCTTCCTTTTGGAAGTTCTAGGGGAGAATGCATGCCCTTCCACTTCTGGCTGTCAGAGGTGACCCATATTCCGCGGCTGACGGTCTACCCTCAAAACGAGCAGTCGAGTATCTTCCTTCCCTTCTGGTCTCCTGCCACCCTCTTAAAAGGACGCCCATGGTTAGAAGAGGCTCGCTTGTATAATCCAGGATAATCTCCCCATCTCAAGATCCTTAGCAGAATCCGTATCTGTAAAGTCCCTTTGAGCACGTGACACTGCTTGGGACAGGACACCTCAAAACATGCCGCTGTGGCATGTTGCTTATTTTATAGAGTGGAAGGCACTTGAGAAACAGCACTTGCAGGAAGGGCTTTCTGACCTACCTTTTCCTGCTTAGAATCAGGCCGTAACATTTCCCCCGAGAGAGAGGTGCCCCCCCTGTGCCAGGAAGCGAGGGATGTCCTTACCACCAGACTGGGAATGCACGCTGAAATGGATCTGTATAAACACACTCATTGGAACGGCCCTTGGCCTCCCCCCGTTATCCCTTCCAACAGACCTCCTAGTCACTTTCGCACCATTCACCATCCCTAGCCCCAACCCCTCCGTCTTGTCCCTTGACAAAGTCGTCATTTCTTTGTCGAAAAGGCACAAAAGCTTTGTGCTCTGGTGTCACTTTCCTGGGTCTTTGCTCTCTTGCGAAGGCTCCCGTGTACATGTTGCAGGGTAATGAAACTTGTCTGCTCCTCTCCTGTTAATGTCTTATGTCAGCTTAATTCTTATTCTTGGCCAGAGACCCTAAGAGGGTAGAGGTGAAGTTTTTCCTCCCCTACGCTCATGTGGTAACATATTCACAGGCTGCAGGGGATTAGGACGTTGACATCTTTGGGGGGCTGTCGTTCGTCCTTCCGTGCTGCCTGCATTAAAGAGGGTGCTCGTTGTGATCAGTTACTTACACAACCGCATTCATGGACCATTTTGAATAGTTGTTTGTCCAATGAATATATTCTCAGCTGGGCTGTGGACTGCTTAGCGGCAGGGTCCTGGCATATTTCCTAATATATTTAAATTTCCCTTCCCCTGGCTTTGGTATAATAATTACTTTGCAGAAGTGGCCTAACACTACACCTGCCCAAATGATGAATATAACTCACAGAGCCAAGTAGTAAAACATATAGGTTGAAAAGCGTTTCCTAGTTCCTGAGGCTCAGCAGCCGGGGCACCACCACATTTTCTTTTCTTTTCTTTTCTTTTTTTTTTTTTTAAATCTTTTTAACATTTATTTATTATTGAGAGACAGAGAGACACAGAGCATGAGCAGGGGAGGGGCAGACAGAGAGGGAGACACAGAATCCGAAGCAGGCTCCAGGCTCTGAGCTGTCAGCACAGAGCCCGACGCGGGGCTCGAACTCACAAACCGCGAGATCAGGACCTGAGCCAAAGTCGGATGCCCAACCGACTGAGCCGCCCAGGCGCCCCAACCACCACATTTTTTCAAGCCTAGTCCTCAGGGCCTCCTTCCAGTCCAGCCAGCAACCTGTGCTCAATACTATGTGCGTGCGTCTTAAAATTGGGGTTTCCCAAGAGTTATGAGCATGCCAGCATCCCACAGTTCTAAGAAACTTTAGAAATCAACCGCTGACTCTTTTTGTCAATGAGGAAACCGGTCTGGAGGTCAAGTGGCTTGGACACTATTTGTGCAAGTTGTTTAATTGCTTTGATTCCTTATATGAAACAGGGAGACAGCATTGCCTACCTCCTGGGGTTGGGGGTGATGACATAAACGAGGGCATGTGTGAAGTGTAATGTCTGGCAGAAATCACTCCGTAAATGCTAGCTGTCCCCACGATCATTTTGTTTGCACTAGAATCCAATTCTTCTTTTTTTTAAAAAAGATTTTTTTTAATGCTTATTTATTTTAGAGAGAGATGGACAGAGGGAGAGAGAGAGAGAGAGAGACAGAGCATGAGAAGGTGAGAGGTAGAGAGGGAGACCCAGAATCCGAAGCAGGCTCCAGGCTCTGAGCTGTCAGCACAGAGTTCAACCCAGGGTTTGAACCCACGAACCGCGAGACCATGACCTGAGCCAAAGTCGGATGCTCAACTGACTGAGCCACCCAGGTGCCCCGAGAGCTTATATTATTTTGATAGACTTTATGATCTACCACCTGCCTCTGCAACTAAACAGCTGTGAGACTTGAACCAAGTCCCATAACCTCTCTGTGATGGTATTTTGTATCATTCACGTGAAGAATTTGGTACAATAATGCAGGTAAAACCATTTTAGCTTGATGTGTGGCTAGAGTAAGTGCTCAATAAATGTAAGCTTTGGTTGATATTATGGTTATTGGTATGATTGATATTATGGCTATTGGTATTGCTATTTGATCTGGAGCCAGAAGGCTGGACAGGACTTCAGAGTTGGGAAACCGTCTACACAGAGGTGGCGACTGAAGCCACAGGATCAAGAGATTCCGGGAGCGGGAGCAGAAAGACGAGTCCTTGAGCAGAATCCTGTGGGAGGAGCATAATGGCAAAGAATTGGAGCCAGGCGGCTTGGGTTCGAGTCCTGACTGCCATTTACAAGCTGTGTGACCTTGGGCAGGTAACACAATCTCTCTGTGCTCGTTATTCTCATCCCTAAGATGAGGAAAATACTGGTACCCACCTCATCGGTCCACTGTGAGGACTGAATGGGTTAATACATACAAGGTGCATAGTGAGTGCTCGAAAATGTTGCTTGTTATTCATATTCTTGGCACAGGACAAAGAAAAAGGAGGTGGGGGGGGGGTAGAGAATGGCAAGAGAGGTAGAGAAAAAGTCGGATCAGTGCCAGGTCACACAATTATCAAGGAGGAGAGGATGTCAAACAGAAAACCTGTGAAGATGAATATGAACAAGCCCTTGGATTGGACCATTAGGAACATTTTAGGGATATTTGACAATGCAGTCTGAACAGGGTGGTGAGGAAAGAAACCATAAGCCAAGGGGAAGAAAAAAATTTTTTTTTAATGTTTATTTATTTTTGAGAGAGACAGAGACAGAATGCAAGCGGGTTGGGGCAGAGAGAGAGGGAGACACAGAATCGGAAGCAGGCTCCGGGCTCTGAGCTGTCAGCACAGAGCCCGACCCGGGGCTTGAATTCATGAGCTGTGAGATCATGACCTGAGCCGAAGTTGGACGCTCAACCGACGGAGCCACCCAGGCGCCCCAGAAGAGAATGTTTAAAGCAGAGCAGAAGAAAGAGAAGAAAAAGACAGCTGATTGTTGAACCCACTAGCTCGGTTCAATACCAAGGTCACAGTCAATCCCAAGGTCACACATACCTGGAAGGAGTGATGGCCCTTGCATTCCTGCATGTAGGTAACCTTTGCCAGCCAGCTTTTGAAGCTCCTCACTGTGCTTTTAAGCTGACCACCTCTCTGACTGCAAGGAAATATTAGGAGACTTGATACACATACCTTAGGTTAGCTGACTAAGGAAATTTCTATCAGAAAAGGGAACTTGTTCTTGTCTTTCACCACCAGACCCATGGTTCTGCTTTTTTGTTTATTTTCTGTACGTTTTCTGCACTCATTTTCATAGCTCCTTTGGTGGTAGGTTTTCATAGCTATTGTTGATTGCCCTTGGGGTGACAGAATCAATTGACCCTAGGAGAGGAATGCCTTTTAGTTACGGAGCATTATCTGAGGAGTGGGAAGTGACTTTGGTGTCAAAAGCAAGCTTAAATAACGCTGTGGTTTTGAGTTGGGTAAGCCAGAATTTAGGGTATTTCTGTTGGTATCTCAAGTTACTGGAGCAGTCATTTTCACAAATCTTGGTATTTTTACCTCCTTAGCAGATGGCACTCCACAGATCTGGCCGGAGTCTCAAAAATCCAGTCCAGGGTGATAACTTATTTGGTTATCTGGAGCAATCCAAACCAATTGCAGGATTTGGGAGAAAACCTTAAGTCCTTCCCTCCTCCGGCAAATATTTATCGAGACAAATATCACTAAGTGACAGGATCTCTGCTACTTTCTAGGGATACAGCAGTGAACAAAAGTAACACAATCTTTTCTATTAAGAACTACGGAGGGGGGCGCCTGGGTGGCGCAGTCGGTTAAGCGTCCGACTTCAGCCAGGTCACGATCTCGCGGTCCGTGAGTTCGAGCCCCGCGTCGGGCTCTGGGCTGATGGCTCAGAGCCTGGAGCCTGTTTCCGATTCTGTGTCTCCCTCTCTCTCTGCCCCTTCCCCGTTCATGCTCTGTCTCTCTCTGTCCCAAAAATAAATAAACGTTGAAAAAAAAAAATTAAAAAAAAAAAGAACTACGGAGGAAGGGAACTTGGAGGAAAAGCAGGTTTTTGGGGGGAGAGACAGGGTTAAGTTTTGGATAAGTTGATTTTGAGGTACTGTGATTTCAACATTCATTATACATACAGTCAATCTGGTTCATGCACAAAAGAGGGGGCTTTCCTCCCTGCTATCTATCAGACTGCTGTCTTTGCTACTGTTGACTTCGTGACAGTTTGTTCATTTTCTTATGCTGATTCCTATCCCTGACACCCTGGCCCTAGATTCAGGTTGGAAAGGTTCTCTTTGCTTCCTCCTGGTCCATCTCAGCCTAGCTGTGATGTTTAATAAAGCTCTACTGAGGTCAAGAGTAATGTGATCCTATTAAATCTAAGTCAGATCCTGCTCCTCCTCTCCTGAGAGCCTTCGGGAGTCCCGGTTCACTTAGAATAAAAGCCAGGGTCCTCACCATGGCCCATAAGTCCCTGCATGATCTGTCTCAGTCATCTCCTCGCCCTCGTCTCCTCCCAATCTCCCCCACCCTGCACTCTGCTTTCTCTGCCTCAGCCACCCTGGCTCCTTGCCTTTCCTTGGACATGCCAGGCACACTCCTGCCTCTGGGCTTTTGTACTTCTTGTTTTCTAAACGCTTTCTGCCTAATGCTGTTCTACCTAAATGCTTTCGCCCAGACTCCTGCATGCGACCACTGGCTCGCTTCAAGTCATTGCTTACGTGTCCCCTCTTTAGTGAGGTCTCCCCTGATCTCCCTGTCTAAATCTTTCTCTGTCTCTTCTTCCCTTCTTCTGTCTCTGTCTCTCTCACACACCCCCTCCATCCACTTCCCCCACTTGTTTCTATCCAGTGCACTCACCACCTTCTTTTTAAAAAATTATTTATTTTGAGAGAGAGAGAGATAGAGACAGAGCATGAGAAGGGGAGGGGCAGAGAGGAGAGACACAGAAGCAGGCTCCAGACTCTGAGCGGTCACCACAGAGCCCGGTGCAGGGCTCGAACTCGTGAACTGTGAGATCATGACCTGAACTGAAGTTGGCTGCTTAACTGACTGAGCCACCCGAGCACCCCATCACCACCTCCTACTAAACAAAACAATTTATTTCCTTTATTCTGTTTACTATCTCTCTGCCCTACTAGAATGCCAGCTCTATAGGGCAAGTAATTTTGTTTGGTTTATTCATCGCTGTATTTCCTGCACCTTACACAGGGTCTGGGGCATAATAGGTGCTCAATCAATACTGATTTAATGACACAGAGATCTGGCTGGAGGGCAGTTATCAGTTGCTCTCAGAAGTGGCTGCCCTTGGTGACTTCAAGTTCCTGACTATCCTGACTAGCCCTTGAGAGGTCTCTTGGTGGTGGTGGGGCTGGTAGCTTGGCTCTCAACAATGGGGATCTCCAGGTGTCTACAGACCTCAGAGTCCAGGTTTGACCTCCACCCTAACCCCAGATTGCACCGCTCTATTCTAGGCACAGGGGATAAAATAGTGAACAAAACAAAAATCCCCATTCTCATAAAGTCTTTTTTCTTTGCACATGCTGTTCCCTCTACTTGGAATTCATTCCTCTCTAATGCTAGGTGCACTTCCTCAAGACCCAGAAGCATTTCCTCCCCCCAAAACCTTCACAAAGCTAGCCCATACTAACTGATAGAAAATTCCTCATAGTGTGGCTACCTCGGGCCAGTTGCCTGTTAAGAACCCGAGGTAGGAATTGGGATCCACATGATGTGTTGGGGGACAGTAGGGGCTGGGGTGCCCATGAGTTTTTGGAGGAGAACTCTCTCGGGAGAAGGATATTAAGGGAGCATGATAGGCAGGGGAAGGAGCTAAATGAGGTGGTCTCAGTAGGAGTCTTAGCCTCGGTTTCATTCCCTGGGGGAGCTCTGGAGGGTGCACCATGGCTTTGATCCATCGGGAGGCAAGGCCTTTTATCCCCTGCATCCATTAGTCACTGGCTGTGGGCTGCCCCTTGGGGTGGAGTGGGGGACAGAACCTGACAGGCACAGTGATGGATGGGACCCGGGCAGAGTGCCAGAAGCAACCACCCACAGCACCCAAACCTTTCTCTGTGTATACCCACTGTCTCAAATGTTGCTACTCTGCCGTAGCCTGCTTTCCTTATTCTCTCTCCTGAGCGCAGTCCCCAGTAAATCACAAGCCTAGGGAGCCTGACCTAATAGAATCTCTCCCTTATTTGGTTGTCACCAAAAGAAAGTAGGAAAAAATAATTCAAGGTTCCTAACTCTTTATGATTTTACCTGAAACAAGATTTAGAAATAATATTATGCCAAGGCACAAACAAGATCCCTCAGCAATCTAATTTTATTGACGACGACCACGGTTAAATCCTATTTGGACCTAGATACAGAGTACTTAGTCCTTACACCATACTGCCACCTTCTGGAAAAACTAAGGAATAAGAAATTCAAAGTAGCTTCAAATGTTTGGTTTGTTAAGCAGGACTGAGGGTGAAGATTGAAACCTTTAGAGTGTAAGGAGCCGAGGCCAATCCTACAGAGTATTAACCAGTCCTTTTTTATGTTATCTTAAATATACTATTATATTCTTATTGCATTTGGAAATTAAGGTCCACAGATATTATTGAATTAATAAGCTAAATTTAGTAATAGGCATAGGAAATGGGGGTTAGGAAACTGGTCTTCATATTTATTCATCTATCCACCCACCCATCCATCCATCCATCCATCCATCCATCCATCCACCTATCCATCTTCCTTCTTTCCTTCCTTCTGTCCATCCATCCATCATCCATCTTCCTTCTTCCTTCTGTCCATCCATCCATCATCCATCCATCTATCCACCTATCCATCTTCTCTTTCCTTCCTTCCTCCTGTCCATCCATCCATCATCCATTCATCATCCATACATCCATCCACCTATCCAACTTCCTTCCTCCCTTCTCTTTCCTTCCTTCCCTCCTTCTGTCCATCCATCCATCATCTATCATCCATCCATCCTTTCTTCCATCCATCTACCCATCCATCTTCCTTCCTCCCTTCTTTCATTCCTTCCTTCCTTTTCTCCATCCATCCACCCATCCATCTTCCTTCCTTCCTTCCTTCTCTCCTTCTGTCGATCCATCCATCCATCCATCCATCCATCCATCCATCCATCCATCTATCCCTCCATCCGTCCCACAAATGTTTAGGATATGCCTTCTCTGTGTTTGGTGATTTCATGTCAGATTGATAAATTTTACTCAATCTTAACTTTCTCACATTTAAAATCCTGCCAATCCATTTACTCTTCAGAAGAAAAAATACATCCATGGCATTAATAAAATTTGATTTTCTTCCCTTGGTTTTTTAAAAAAAGCTTATTTATTTATTTGAAGAGAGACAGAGATAGCATGAGTGGGGGAAGGGCAGAGGGAGAGACATGGGAGGGGTGGAAAGAGAGGAAGAGAGAGAATCCCAAGCAGGCTCCATGCTGCCAGCGCAGAGTCTGACTCAGGACTTGAACTCACCACACCATGAGATCATGACCTGAGCCGGAACCAAGAGCAGGACACTCAACCAACTGAGCCACCCAGGCACCCCATTATTCCCTTTAATTGCTAAAAACATTATTTTTTTTTTAAAGTTTATTTAGTATTTATTTTGAGAGAGACAGAGACAGCATGAGTGGGGGAGGGGCAGAGAGCGAGGGAGACAGAGAATCCCAAGCAGGTTCCGCACCGTCAGCTTGGAGCCCGATTCCGGGCTTGAACTCACGAAACCATGAGATCATGACTGAAATCAAGACTTGGATGCCCAACTGACTAAGCCACCCAGAGCCACCCAGGAGCCTCCCAAATACATTCTTATGTAACTAGTTCTAGGGAATAAAATCAGAGTTGGTGCAGGGCAAGTTTGGGAATAGGTAAATGCCACGGGAGACAAATAAGGATGTTGCTGCGTAATTAACTCTTAACGCTGAGGTATTTTGAGTAGCTGTTGTAAGATACACTGTGAAATTATTTCTGCATCATTCAGTACTGTTTTACCACTGCACTTTTAATGACTTCACCATACTGCTCTACACGGAATTAGTCAGTCCTTTACAGATGCATGGGTAGGCTGATTCCAGTTACTTTGTAACCCAAAATGCTGCAATGAACAGCCTTATGTTTTTAACACAGATCCTGTGTCAATGTTTCTTTTTTC